CATTTTGCTTTTATCTGTGATTTGCAGCGGATTTTACTCTGTATTTTGTTTCAGATTTCCAGCACGTTCAGCATTTTGCTTTTATCTGTGATTTGCAGCAAATCTTACTCTATTTTATTTCAGATTTCCAGCATGTGCAGCATTTTGCTTGTATAGGGGCGGAGACCAGAAGTTGTGGGTGGGGCCGGAGATCACGTGGTCCCGGTGTGGGGTGTCAGCTGACTCAGGGCTGCGCGCGCCGCTTCCTAACAGCAGCCGGGTTGTGGAACAGTCGTTAGGCCGTAGCTGCAGCCGTGGGGGACGGCGCCATGGACGAGACCAGCCCGCTCCGCTCGCCGCTGCAGCCTCCTCCCGACACCTACTTCTCCACCGCCGCGGTGTTACCTCCGGCCTCGTCCTCGGGTTTCGGGGTACGCTGCGCGGCTCCGGCTCCGGCTCCGGCTCCAGGGGCTGGGGTGAGGGTCCTGGGCCCGGCCTCCTCCGCCGTCGCCGTCTCTAGCTCCAACGCCCCCTCGGCCTGCTCCGCCTCTCCGCCCGGATCCCCCGGCTCCGTCCGCGAGCGGCAGCCGCTCTTGGGCCCCCGCAGCCTCAACGACTTCCCGGAGGAGCCCGAATTTGCCGAGGTGATGCGGCGGGCCGAGCAGGCTCAGGAGATGGGTATCCACCCGCAGAGAATCAGTCAGGGCTCGAGTGGCAGCTACTTCATTCCGGACCCGTCAGGGGTGAGTACTAGGAGGAGGGGAAGAGAGCCAGGAGGCTGGATAACAGGGGGGAGAGGGGACAGAAGTGTGGGGGGCGTGGGTGGGTGCGTCTGGAGGCAGGCGTCTGGGTGTCAAGAGGGGTTGGGCCTCCAGGAGGAGCTGCAATAGGTTCCAAGAGACTGGGTGTTCAGTTTGGGAGTGGGTGGGCGGGCTTACAGGGGTCTGGCAGCCCAGTTGGAGGGCGTTATGGGTGTTGGATGACCCTGAGGGTGTTGAATATTGAAAGCTCCTTTCCCAGGAGAAGGTGGGTCCAGGGGCTGGGTGCTCTATAGAGTTGTGGTACAAAGGGGTCAGGTGGGGTGTGGTAGTGGTGCGAATGGCTGAGTGCCCTAAGCAGTGTGTGAATATATGGGGATGGGCTAACTTGATAGTGTGTTGGAGGGTGGGAATGGATCCCCTGGTGATGGTAGGGCAGTAGGGAGTTCCCATGGGTTGGGGGCTCGTAATTGTGAAGTGGAATAAGAGGGGTCACCTGAGTTTGGCTGGGTTGGCAAGATATGGGAGGGAGGAATAGTAGTGAGTAATAAACACCAAGCTTATTTGGTAGGCTTGAGATGAGCCTACATATCTTCCACTCAATCTGTTCAGGGATGTGTTATACACCTCTCAAGCAGGTGGGACTTGAACTTTGGCTTCCTGGTTGAGAGGTAGGGATACTACCATTGCACCACAAGAACCATTATGGGATATGGGTAAACTGAGCCGAGTGTGTGGTGGATTGATGGGGATTGGATCCTGGAGTGAAAGACAGGCAGTGTTACAAAAACTCCCAAGCCAATTTAGTGTACAATTGATAAGCTTGCATTGAATCCCATGTGATCTAACTTTACTAATTAGCCTACCATGCAGAATCTTGTCAAAGGCTTTACTAAAGTCCATGTAGACAATGTCTACCACTCTGCCATCTTGCTGTGTAAGTTGTCAGTCCCCATCATCAATCCATCACACACGCTTGGCTCTGTTTACCCAAATCCCATAATGCAGAGCACTTACAGGGAGACAGCATTTGTGCTTGAGTGCCACAAATGGAGCTAATGTAAGTCAATGTTGTTATCACGTTACCTGAGCTGTTTGTTGACCATTGTCTTTGCTGCTTTGATCTGTTTATTTAGCTTATACCTGCCTCCTGTTGCTGTGTAATTTCACAAATTGCAAATTGAAGCAATAAATTGGTGGAATAAAGTGGGATGGGTGTGGAAATAGATGGTGCAAGTTAGTTCAAGACTGTGTTTCAGGGCAGAAGTGGTTTGCTGCATGTCTAAGTATAGGACAGAACTCTGGGTAATGGAATCTAGCACCTGTATATGTGTGCACTTAACCTCTGGTCTGTCTATCTAATTTTCAGTACATGTAACTTGATTTAGGGCAGTGGACCCAAATTATACATCTCTGTCCAAATAGCAGTTGTATGTACAACTGCATGCACCACTTAAAAGATTTGAAAAGGTTAATATTTATTGATTAAAGACAAAATTACAATACTTAGAAAGGATTTCTTTGACAACAGACAACTAAAATACTGTCAAAAAACAGAACTGCGGGTGTTGTAAATCAGAAACAAAACAAAATTGCTAGAAAAGCAAAAGTGGAGAAGAACCCATTAATGTTTCAGGTCGAGTGACCCTTCCTTGGAAATGTTGTCCACGGATGCTTCCAGATCTGCTAAGTTTTTCCAGCAATTTCTGTTTTTGTAACCAAAATACTGTGTAGAATTGGAATGGTCTCCAGACTGTTGTGGAGGATTTATAAAGGTATGTGTTGGTGGAAATACGAGAAGTCATTGTTTGAGTTGAATTAATATCTTTTGACAGTTATGCAGGTTTCAGCAAAAATTTCCTGAAGCAGTGCCTTCAGGGTGGGAAAAAATGTTAAATGGTACTGAAAAAGTCTATTTTTACAACTTAGTTACCCAAAGAAACATAATCAGTAATGCTCAAATTCTATGCTACAAATATTCAAACAATAATGCATAATTTGGGAATAACATAATTTACAAAGCACGAGGGCAGTGTGGAAGACATTGTCTACACTGACTTTAATAAAGCCTTTGAGGAGATTCTGCATGGTAGACTAATTAGTAAACTTGGGTTCTGTGGGATTCAAAGCAAGCTTGTCAATTGGATACTAAATTGGCTTGATGGTAAGAGACAATGTGTATTGGTAGACTTTTTTTTGTTTGTGTTTTTCAGCCTGGAGGCCTGTGACCAGCGGTGTTCTGCAGCGATCGGCACTAGGTCCACTTTTGTAATTTAAATGAGCTATTTGAATGAGAATTTAGGAGGCATGATTAATAACTTGGCAGATGACACCAAAATTGCTGGTATAATGGACAGTGAAGAAGGTATCTAAGATTACAAAGGGATCTTGATTAATTTGGCCAATGGGCTGAGGAGTGGCAGATGGAGTTTAATTTGAATAAATGAGAGGTATTGCATTTTGGTAAAACAAACAAGGGCAGGACTTCTACAGTTAATGGTAAGGCTGTGGGGAATGATATCGAACAGAGACACCTAGGAGTTCAGGTACATAGTTCTTTTGAAGTGACATTGCAGGTAGACAGGGAGGTTAAAGCGTTTAGCATGCTTAACCTTCCTTGCTCAAACCCTGGTGTGTAGGATTTGAGTCATGTTGAGGTTGTTCAGGATGTTAGTTTGGCCACTTTGAATACTGTGTTCGCCCTGCTGTAGGAAGGATATTATTTAAATTGGCAAGGGCTCAGAACAGATTTATAAGGTTGCCGAGATTGGAGGGCTTGAGCTACAAGGAGAGGCTGGATAGACTTGGACACTTTTTTTTTCACTGGTGTGTGGGTGGGTTGGGGAGGTGGGAGTTGAGGGGAGGCGGTGGTGGGTAACCTTAAAGGTTTATAAAATCATGAGGCATAGATGAGGTGTGTAGCAATGGTCTTTTCCCTAGGGTAGAGGAGTTCAAAACTAGAGGGAGTTTTTAAGGTGAGAGGAGAAAGATTTAAAAGGGACCTGAGGGACAACTTTGTCTCTGGTTTGTGTGTGGAATGAACTGCCTAAGGAAGTGGTGGATGCAGGTACAGTTACGACATTTCAAAGACATTTGGACTGATATATGAAGAGAAAAGGTTTAGAAGGATATAGGCCAAATGCAGGTGAGTGGGACTAGTTTAGTTTGGGGAACTTGGTTGGCATGGGCGAGTGAACTGAAGGGCCTGCTTTTGTGCTTTTTTTCAAAAAAGTACAATTGGATTCAAACAGTATCTTAGTTTTTTTCCATAGGCAATGTCAGACCTGCTGAGTTTCTCTCGCACTTATTTGTTTATATTCTAAATAGAAACTATTTTAAATACCTCCATTTGATCACACCTCAACTTCTAGTACAAACAGAATTATGCAGTCTGCCGTTAGGAGGGAGGAGATTGTCACATGAGATTTTTAATTTTTCAGAGATCAAAGGGATTAAAATAAATTACCCACAATAAACTGAAGTCAGCAGTCGTGAACAGAGAAATTGTGTATCCATGTATCCTGAGGACATGAAAGCATATCAAAGTACAGCATACCTACAGTGTGGGCACTGATGCAATTCAATGTAAAACCAATGTAAAGCTAAAGCTTTACTTGTATGTTTAAGCAGCTAAGATCACGGACACTGAACATGCTCTTAAAAAGAATGGTTGCAGTTTCACTTTAAAATAACTTAGAAAAAATATCAAAGTTGGGTGTCAGAAATAGACAAAACTGACATTGAAGCCATAACTATGGAACTAAGAGAAAGTTTAGTGTTCCTCAGTTCCCAGTCACTCTCTGGTAATGGGTTTAGAGTGTCTATGGACATTACTGCAAGTAAGTGCACAAGTTTAAAAGGGATGCAAAAAGACCAATGGAGTGCTGGCCTTTACCTAGAATGGACAGAATTGCAAAGACCATAAATAATGTGCCAATTGTATAGAACTTTGGTTTAAAATCTTGTGGAGTAATGCAACCAAAAGAAGGTGATGCTAGCATTGATGGAGAGGGCAGATGCATCAGAATGTTTCTGGGGTTTACAGGATTAATTTGAAGGCAGACTGTGTAATTTTTGTTTATATTCCTTTAAGGTTAGAAAGTTGAGGACTGACTTGAGGTTTTGAGCATAATTTGTTCCTGTCTATTCCATGAGAATCTCTGGGGAGCATGGGGCAAAGGGGAGTATCTTGAAATGAAAGCTAGGCTGCTGAGTGAAATCAGGAAATACACCTTTTCATAATGGTTTGTGAAACTGCATAAAGGTGCTGAATATGAGGTAGACATGCACTAAAATTGAGATTGAAAGATTTTTAAGGGAGTTGAGGGCTTTGCATAAAATAATTGTGGCATGGACAAACCAGGACTTAACTGATAGAAAGTTTTAAGTGTTCAATAGTTTCAAATTGCCCTGTTGAAACCTAAATTAATTTTAAATGAAGTGGTATATGCAGTTGGGCAAACCCCCCCATTTAGTATGACGTGGACCCTAAATTCCAAATTGAAAATGGGAGCCATTTTGTTGACACTTGGCAACATCACACCATTCCAAACCATGCGCTTGCCTGATATTCATACAACCACAGCTTGACACCTGTAGTGTTTTATTCATTTGCTCTTTCCCCAGCCTCAGTTTCCTGGCTCGATTGCTAGACTGAGGTTTCAGTTTTATGTTGAATCTGTGTGCAATAAATAAACTGTTGCCAGAACTACGTGTGCTCCCCTAATGGCCCAATGAGAGTCAAGGATGTTCGATCAGAGAAATTCCTGTGTTGTATGTCAGCTGGTTTGGGGGGGGGGGGTGGTGGAAAGGGGGGAAACGCGTGCAGGATCATTACAGATGGCGCTACAGTTTGATTTGGCAAGATAAACCTGCTCCAAACCATTATTCAGCAAACTCAGGTTGGAAATTTGTTTGTGTGGATGTTTTGGTCCAGAGCTGAGTTGAAGGAAGAAATACTTGCATCTCTACAGCATCTTTTATGC